AGCCAAGGCAGTCCCCTTAAGGGTGTACCCACTAGGGTCATTCTAGCATTGACTTTACGCAAATCTTGCAACATTCTCCATTTGCCAGAGGCTTTCTTAATAACAAAGACAGGTGTGTTCCATGGACTTACAGAAGGCCAGATGTGGCCCAACCGTAATTGTTCCTGCACAATTTCCTTTAAAGCCTGTAGCTTTGTCTCAGGTAATGGCCACTGCTCCACACATACCGGTGCCCAGGGGACCACTGGATAGCTAGAACTTGAGGGGCAGTGGCCCTTAGAATTGGGGGTGAACCCGATTCTCTTTCTTTGGGTCCCCCCTGTAATTGATATGGGGAGACAACCCTTGTGTTGCTGACTCAGGAAGCCTATCAGACTCTTCAAGATCCAAAAGGTCATCATAAAAGCCCTTGCTATCAGTAGTTATGCAGGCCTGTGCATCCACCAAAATATCTTGTCCTATAAGGTTGGCGGATAACCCTGCCACCACCAGGTTTCGCACCTCCCCTTTAGCTCCATCTGCATCCATCTGCATTGAGCCATTCTCAAGTCTCCTCTGATGGGGTGTATCCTCCACACCTAGGATTCGGGGCCCAGAAACTAGGTGCCATCACGATGGGACCTCCTCCTTTCTAAGGATGGTTCTATGAGCCCCTGTGTCCACTAGGCAGCGAAACCTCCTGCCACCTATTTCAAGATCCATCTTGGGCCTTACACTAGGGATAATAGGGACTGTCCAATTCGCCATAGGTTTTTCTCCTCTCCCGATCCCTCCCCGAGGGCACTGTAAATGTAGCCGATCTGGGGAAGCCCTCCTTTTGTCAACGGGGCTGGAGGCTGCCCCCCACTTTGTTTAAAGGCTTTCCTTCAATATCAAATCTGAATTTACATTCCTTTTGCTAATGGAGCCCTTTGTGACACTGGGGACAGGGCATAGATGGGGGTCTTTTTGATACCCCACCTCCAGGCTTAGGCCAGTTCTCTCGCTGAGGGCAATTTCTTTTAATATGGCCAGTCTGGCCACAGCTAAAACATGGAGCTTCTATCCCTCTAGGCCCCATTGTTACCTGCTGACCCAAATTAAGTGAATTAAATGCTTGGGTTAAGGCACGGGTCAGAGCCTCTGTTTGCACCTGTAAGACAGCAGCTATGTCTTTGGTTTGCTCCTCTGGGTTCCCACCTCCTTGAAGGCAATTATCCATTGTTCCATGGACCTGTCCTTAAGGCCAGCACAGGCTATCTTGTGATCAGCATCCATTCCATCCCATACCAAGAGTTTAGTGAATTGCTCCCTCAATGGGCCTGGGGGTAATTTTAATTTTAAGCTCTTCTCTACTCTGTCTATAAACTTGTAGAGGGGTTCACCAGCTTATGATTAATCCCTGCAAGAGGGGATTCAGGAGGCCCCTCTTCCAATTTTCTCCAAGTATTTAATCCTATGATCCTGACCTGTTCTGTATATGGGGCTGGAATGCCTGACTGTTGCTCCCCTGTGGCATAATGGTCTCTTGAACCAGTCAATATCCCAAAAGTAATGGGGACCGACGGGTTGGCACTTGCATTCCTCTCAGCCTGTATCCTGCTTTCCTCCTTAAAGAGGGCACACCATTTAATATACATATATAGGGCTAGGAAGGACTGCTTTGGCGAGGTCCAGCCAATCCTTTGTAGTACACTGCTGATGAGCCAAGCCTTGGAGGAGAGTATCTACCCAGGGTGATCCTGGGCCATCCTCAGCCACCGCCTTTTTTAATTCCTTTAAATCCTTCACCTCCCAGGGATGCCAGGGGTCAGGGCGAGTGCCTCCTGGGTTTACATTAATAGGATATGCTTCCACCAGTGGCCTCACAGAAGCCTCCTGAGCAGGGCCAGGATCCTCACAATGGGGATGGTTTTCATGGGTCTCAGGAAGCCCTGAAGCTGGCCAGGGCACGCCCGTGGTGACACTTTTTACTTTGGCT